TGTGGAGCTGATGCAGATTGGGGTAACCTGAGTTCATGGAGTGGCTGAGACCCAGAGGCCTGGCCCCAAAGCATGGGGTGAAAACCCGGCGTATCTCTACTCAAAACACCACAAAATTAGCTCAGGCCGTCGCGCCGAAGTGTTGAGATTACAGGCGTGAGCCACCGCGCCTGGCATTTTTGGGTCTTCCTTTCACATTAGAGGCTATCTTCCCTTTGCCCAAAATCCGTAGCCCAACTCCTTGGACCTGTTGGAATATTTCACAGGAGACTGTTGTTTTGACTCCTTTTATTATTTCCTCTTGGGCAGAAATTGTGCGACCAAAGTGATAACATAATGATTTATTTGAGCATTTATATACCAGGCTCCGAGTTGGCTAATTTAATTCTTACCTCAACTCTATTTACCAAGTACTACTACTATTGACCTTCTCTGAGGAAACTGGGGCACAGAAAGGCCAAGTAACTTGGCCAGAGTCACATAGCCAGTCTGTGGCAAAGCTGAGGTCCTTGGTTCCAGAGCCCATACTCCTAATCACCTCTAATCAGTCTCCTTATTTGGAACCGGGGCACAATTTGCTCTCTGTTCTTTATAGAAAACAACCACAACATTGTAACACCACTTACTAAATGCCAGACACTGTTCTGAACACATTATCTATGTAGATTTCTTTAATCCCTAACAGGCCAATGAAGTAGGTACCACATTTAGTCCTATTTTACAAAGAACCTTCTAGAGGTTCAACTTACCCAAGATCACCAGATAGTGAGAGCAGTGTCTGAGTTTCAAATCTAGGCTGGGTGTGGTGCCTTACACCTGTAATACCAGTACTTTGGGAGGCCGAGGCAGGAGGATCGCTTGAGCCCAGGAGTTCTAGACCAGTCTGGGCAATATAGTAAGACCTCCATCTCTACAAAAAATTTAAAAATTAGCTTGGCGTGGTGGCATCTGCCTGTGATCCAAGCTACTCAGGAGGCTGAAGCAGGAGGATTGTTTGCCCAGGAGGTCAAGGCTGTAGTAAGCCATGATTGTGCCACCTCTAGCCTGGATGACAGTTCAAGACCCTGCCTTAAAAAAAAAAAAAAAAATTTTAAATGTAGGTTTTCTCTCCCTGGAGCTCTCACTTTCTTTTTCTTTTTGGGCCTCAGGAGCAGAGTGGAGTTTATCGCCCTCCTCAGTTCATGGCCCACCACCCTCCTCAGCCTGGGCAAAGCCTGGCTTATTTTATTTCATTATTTTCTTTTTGTTTTTGAGACAGAGTTTCTCTGTCACCCAAGTTGAAGTGCAGTGACGCTATCTCAGCTCACTGCAAACTCCGCCTCCTGGATTCAGGCAATTCTCCCACCTCAGCCTCCCAAGTATCTGGGATTGCAGGCACGCACCACCATGCCCGGCTAATTTTTGTACTTTTTGTAGAGACAGGGTTTCACCATGTTGCCCAGGCTGATCTCTAACTCCTGGGCTCAAGTGATCCTCCTGCCATGGCCTCCCAAAGTGCTGGGATTCTAGGCATGTGCCACCGTGCCTGATCTATTTCATTATTTTCTCCAGTTACTCCCAACCCCTAGTCCCTCTCCCCTCCCCCTCCTAGGCCCTCACTAGGGTGTTCATCTGTCTTTAAATCTGCATGTGTAGCAATAACCAGACATTTATTCAGCACCTACCATGGTGCCAGGTGTTACTCTACATCAGGGAGCAACAAACCACAGCCCATTGACAGATTTTATACAACCTACAAGCTAAAAATGGTGTATCTATATATATATATATATTTTCTTTTTTGAGATGGAGTCTCACCCTGTTGCCCAGGCTGGAGTGCAATGGTGCCATCTCAGCTTACTGCAACCTTCGCCTCTTGGGTTCAAGTGATTCTCCTGCCTCAGCTTCCCCAGTAGCTGGGACTACAGGCGCCTGCCACCACGCCCGGCTAATTTTTTTTGTGTGTGTGTG